TTTCTACCCACATTTGTTTCATTTTCATTTGTCCGTTTCGGAGTAGAAGATATTGCCTTTACAAGGTATTTGTCCATCTTGCATTAATGCGCAAAAAATTTGAACGTCTTACATGAAGAAACCTTACCTACAGTAAACACGTGGTTGCAGAGAAATGCGTTCTGAAAGAGGTTCGGAGGGATGGTGTTCTGTAGTTCTTAAAGATTCTGAACAATACTGGTAAACAGGGAAGCTAGATAATGGGGCAGATGTTGAAAATAATGAAAGATCCTGGAAGAAAAGTGAACCGGATTTTATTCTAAATGGCGCAATGAGAAATTTTTTTCAAAATGCGAGAAATTCGCGAATTTTGAAACTGGTTTATAGAATGCGCGAATTTCTCGCGGTAATCATTTTATAATGCGAGAAAAGAAAAAAATATGCGAGATTCTTGCGTTCTCGCGCTGTAGTGAAAACACTGTATATATATACACACACACTCATATATATATATATATATAGAGAGAGAGAGAAAGATTGTTTCTCCCACTTGTTTAATACTACTAAAATTGCCCTATACTGGCATAATTTAGGGGGGGAAAGACAAATGAAATTAAATAAATAAATCTGCAATTTAAAATAAAAAGTTAAGATTGTAATGGTGTAAAAGAGAAATTTAAAAGGCACGGAGAAATTTACTGGTCAAATATGATTATGCCAGAATATACAAAATTAATTAGTCATCAAAAACAAATACAATCTAAAAAAAATCTATCTAAAAATACAATATTCTCACCTTTTTCCAAATTGTATTTTCCCTCTTTCCTTTAGTCGCAAAAACTGCCAACGAACAAATGAGTCATAATAAGGATTACAATCTGTCGTGATGAAAGTACGACGCCAATCTATCTACAATAAATTATCTATGTTAAGGAAACAAAAATTTTAAATAAACCATTGTTGTTGATAAAATTGTTATAGTGATTCTAAAAGCTGCTTAAAAAGATTAAATAGAGACAGAAGTAATTTTAGTGCAGTCTGAATTTTCAATTACTTATGATTTGCCACAAAGACCAAAAATTTTTTTAAATATGTTATGTTTTTTATTTCCAAAATAATAGTAATAATAAATCTAAAACTGTAATGTAACATTTTACAATATTATTTGCATTATTCTTTTTTAAATTATGATTATAAACTGATTAAAATGAAAGGGAAGAAACAAGGCATATTAGAAAACTTTTACTGAATGAGAACTTATTCTGTGGTTATGATTTCCTCAGCAGCAAAATAACTTGAGCCCTCATCGGACCAATATTCACGAATCTTGGCTCAATAAGGGTTCAAATGGCCGTTATTTCTCCGATATTGGCCCCATATAGAATTATCTAACTCACCCGATACTTTCCAGCCACTTTACAACCAAAATAGGCCCTATATAGAACTGTCAAATTCACCTGATATTTCATATGAATTTTTTAGCCAATATAGGCTCTATATTGATCCCATAAAGGCCAATATTGGTCCTATATAGGACCAAAATTAAAGAAATCTAGACATCCCAAAATTGGTTCCTCATTGCAAGTTCACATAGGACCCAAATTGAGCCAAACTGGAATCAAGATAAAAATTTTAGCTAGGGTTAGTGTAATTATAAAATTTAATATATTTCATAAAGATTTATTCTTAAGGTTACTGGAATTAAATATTATTTCAAGCTCTCCGGTTTCACTAAATGATAATCAAGATCTTCCTTTCGATAGTACACACTCCTTAAAATTAGTTCCCTTAGATAATACCTACACATTGTTTTATTGAAAATTATAAAGATTTTGTAGACAAAATATGTTTGGATTTACATGCATTATAAAATTGTTAAAACAAATAGAATAATGCACAGTGTACAAAGAAAAAAACTTAACACCTTGAATAACTTCTGATCTAATAATAAAATTTTCGCGTACTAGGACTCAATCTTAATGGTTCAAAGGCATGATCGGGAACGATGTTTATTTAAAAAATTGTTTTAATGCAACTTTATAGTAAGTGTCAATAAAATCATGTTGTCATAGATGACAAAAAATAAAATTTTTTTAAAAAAAAGCTGAATAATTAATTTTTCTTAAAAATGAAAAACTTATAGGTGATGAAATGAATGAACTTACGATGTTTAAAAATAAAGTACCAGAATTTGGTATTTAACTGGAACACAATCACCCTTGCTTTTTTAAAGAAGAAAAATTTTGTAAAGCGACAAATTTTTTATTTGACCAAAAAATCCCTCCAGCTCTGGACTTAACCTCGACAATCGAACTTATTCTGAATAATTATGCTACTTTACTTACTTTAACACCCATAGCTTTCAGATCTTTGATAGCCAAAGGAGGAAAATACTTCAACCAATGTTCGGCGTCTGCGAACTTTACAATTTCTTCATCTTTTAGTCCTAACGACTGCATAATTTGCCACTGATAATTTCCACCTCCAGTTTTAGCTGCTAGCTTACTCTAAAAATAATAATTTCAGAGAAAATTAACATTAAATATGACTCAGACATTCAAAAATTGATGAATAAAAAAATAAATTTAACACATAAATTTTTCTAAATTTCTTCCAGTTTAAGAAATCATGTTAATGTTTACATTTAATCAACCATCCAAAGAACAACATATTTCAGTCAAAACAGAGAGAACACACCTTTTTCCCTTTCGCCTTATCAGCAGGCATTTTCACTTCTTCTACAATTTCTTCAGTCTTAACAGCAACATCATCAGGAAATGTTGGGGGACATCCAAATGTCTCCATTTCATACTTTAATTTATCAGCACAGGCCTATACAGAAAAAGAATTATGCATAAGATTTTAAATCTTGAGAAATGTATTTGCGCAAGGTGAGCATACACAGAAAAAAAAATTTAAAAAATTGTGGTGAACATTTGAAAGAAAATATACTTTTATGGGTGATAATCCCCCCAAATAAATTTTGTGTAACGGCACGAAATAAAATTTGTGAAAAATCCCTTATCATTTAAAGCTTTCTTTAAAAAATAAATAAATACAAAAACCACTTAAAAAATTGTTAGAAACTTTTTAAATTCTAATGTTATTTGTACTTTTTTCATTAGAATACAATTACAATTAAATACAATTCACTACAAAATTATTTAAAAAAAAATCGGATTAATAAGAACTCCTTTAAATGCTCATATCTTTAAGCAATTTTTTTTTCGAATTTTAAAATTATAATTTTTTTAATAAGTAAAAATGGCTCCAAAAGATATGTTGAATGTTTTTAAAGTTATAGCAACAAAACAAAAAAAAAAAAAAAAAAAAAANAAAAAAAAAAAAAAAAAAAAAAAAAAAAAAAAAAAAAAAAAAAAAAAAAACATAATGAAAAAATTAGAATTAGTTTTCATAAAAGAGTCCATATCTCCATAAATATTTAAGGTAAGTTAACAAATTATTGCAAATAATTACCAACATAATTGATGCAAGTTACAAGATTGTTTTAATAATTTATGATAAAGGTTGTTTAAATACTTGTATCAATATACTTGTTTTTGTTCGTAATTTATTGCCGGCCCTCAAACCTCTGAAAGCCTTAAAATTTATAGATAAATGTGAGAAATTACATTATCTTAACAACTCTAAAGCTATAAAATAATCCTCTAAGTGTTCCTAAAGAAATTTTTAAAAATGTAAAACAAAAAAAATGGAAGTATCTTTTTTATTATTGTAGGGTCGTGTATTAATTTGATCCCAATTCTAAGAAATCAACAACTGACGATTAATAATGATTCAATACTGTCATTTTTGGTTAATAAGATCAGATTTGTTCTTACTGCAATTAAGTACTTTAAATTTAAAGCAAAATTGCACAAAATCATTTTCAAAAACTGTTTTACCATTTCCGTAGCCACGGTCGCTGAAAATTAAAAATAGTTGCTGAAACTTTTAGCTGTTGTAAATGTTATGTAGCTGTTATGTAAAATAACATTACAGCTGTAATTAAATTAAAATAATATATCTTTTATTTTTCCTTTTTAATAATTTTTTTTCCAGATAGTATTACTCAAAGCAATACATAAATTATTGGGTTTCATAGAAGTCCCAATAATTTGTGCAAGGCTTTCGAAAATACTACAATGCATCATTGTGAAAATAAAAAAAGTTGTTCTCTACAAGGTATTTGCCAAAATCAACTCCGTTTTATCATTCTGCGCATAAAATTGTCAAATTAAGGAAATTGTCAATGCTTTTTATCAGTGATTTTCACCATTTTTTTTTTTTTTTTTTCTTNCTTATTTTTTTTTTTTTTTTTGTCTTTTTTTTGGTTGCGGCAAACTTTTAATGATTTGACAACACACAAAGAAAAAAATAAGTTTAAAAGCTGTTTACTTAACTATAATACACTGTGTAAAATACTTTATGATAATGATTTTGAATGCAAAATAAAATAATATGTACTACAAAAAACAGTACATTTATTAAGGGATTAATTACAAGTTAATAATAAGAATACTTTAAATGAGAAATTTGAGCTTCGCATTTTTGTTTTCATAACTATTAAATGCATAGCTTATTTAAATTATTAGCTTTTATTTTCTTCAAGGTGCATAGCCAAATTATTCATCAAAAAACTAAGCACCTTTTAAGCAATTTTCAAGAACTAAAAAAATATTTTTAAGCACTTTAAAAAAATATCATAATTAGGTAGGGTTGGAAAGTTTTTGACAATTGCCGGTTTTATCTTGTTTTAACAGTCACGTCAATAAAGAAAAATCTTTTGGCATTGTTTTTGACAATTGTCAAAAATCATAAAATTTTGAATCATGTAAAATGAATGGCATTTTCATATGCTATGGACTGATAATATGTTGAAATAGATTGGGGTTGAATTAATTATGAAAACGTTAAATAGAACAATGTGAACGGTGTCTTTCAGCATAATTCGAAGCTAAAATCAACATAGTAAAGAAAAAATCTCATTTTGAAAAAGTGAAAATTAAGCCCTTTTTAAAAACATCCAATAATAAAAGCACCTTTAAGGGCTTTTTAAAAATGAAAATAAGCACCTTTAAGCACTTTTCAAAAACACTACGCTCCCTGTTCTTTTGCAAGTTAATATTTAGCTCGCATTCTTTTGTTAACAATTTTAATAGTCATTAGATTTCCTACTTATTTTAACATTTTAAGATTGTCGCCGACAAAGATGTTCAAGCCGTTAAAGCATGAAAAAAACTTTACTTGTGATAAAAAAAATTCATTATTAACTTTACTACACTGGTTATCATAAATTAAGGAAAAATCACAAAAATAGCGATAACTCTTTCAAAAGTAAGCCAAACCGTGCAAAATTTGCATATGTTGTCCACTAAGAGTAGCTGAGTAAAATTGCAATATGCAAATTAGTGGCGCTGCACTCGGCTTACGTCATCTGCCTGGAGCATAAAAGTCCAAGTTTGAGAGAAAGCACACAAATTTTACTGTGATTGCGACATTGAAAATCTGAGATAGCCAATTCGTAATAATGACCTCTAGGCATCATTTGCCTGAAGAACTACGATGGAGAGCCATCGGGAGACTAGAGGCAGGGCAGAGTCAATCAGAAGTGGCCAGATGGCTAAATGTGAGTCCATCTGTGGTTCATAGACTTTGGAGGCAATTTCAAACCACAGATTCGGCATCTAGGAGGTTCAGTCAAGGACGGCCAACTGTTACGACCAGTGCCGATGACCGATATTTGACATTAAGTGCACGCAGGAATAGAACCGCTACTCCGACACATCTTAGATCCTCTCTTGCTGCAGCCACCGGAAGGTTGGTGTCAACGTCAACTGTGCGCAGAAGGCTCCACGAAGGTGGTCTGTATGCGAGACGACCAGCCATTTGCGTGCCGCTCACATCACGCCATAGGAGAGACCGTTTGCAGTGGGCCCGACAACATGTCCACTGGACGTCAGATCAATGGAGGCCTGTTCTCTTTACGGATGAGTCCAGGTTTAGTCTAGAAAGTGACAGTAGACGTTATTTGATATGGAGAGAACCTGGGACCCGTTATCATCCATCAAACATCCGTGAAAGAGATGCATACGGAAGAGGCAGTGTCTGTGTTTGGGGAGGCATATCCTTAGGAGGGCGCACATACCTCCATGTCTTTCCAAGGGGAACCGTGAATGCTCAGGTTTATCGAGACAACATCCTTGATGCTTATGTGCGCCCATATGCCGGGGCAATTGGTGATTGCTTCCTGTTACAGGACGATAATGCAAGACCACACAGAGCTCGCATTGTTGATGATTATCTTCAACAGGAAACAATTACTCGCATGGAGTGGCCAGCTCGATCCCCGGACTTGAATCCTATCGAGCACGTTTGGGATGCTCTAGGGAGGCGTGTATCTGCCATCAATCCGCCCCCTCAGACCCTTGCCACGCTTGCAACTGCTTTACAAGAGCAATGGCTCTCACTTCCTATTGAACTGATAGACCGCATAATTGAAAGCATCACACATCGCTGTTTGTGCTGTATTGCTTCTAGAGGCAATCATATTCCATATTAAAGGTACTTTTTCTATTGCAAACCGATACTTCCAATTTGTTTATTTTATACATGTGCTAATTTCTATACTACTATTAATGTCTGATAATTTCTTTTTATGTTGTTTAATACCTTACTATGTGTTGTATATTGTGGGTAAGTTTCATAAAATTCCATGTGTAATTTCTTGAGTTATCGCGATTTTTGTGAATTTTCCTTAATTTATGATAACCAGTGTATATCATTTATAAAACACGCACAAGTGCCGCGATACGGTGGCTAGGGACCACTGCTTTATAACAAGAGTAATTCGAAGAAAGAACAAAAGAAAGATTTATTATGAATTAGTTTTATTAAGGATATACAGTTTTCGTGCCATGTTTATAAATTGAAACTGAACTTACTTTGATAGGCATACCTGTCGCATGAAGACCAAATGGAAACAAGCATTTCCTTCCTAACATCCGCTGGTAGCCAACTGCAAACTATCAAAAATATGTTAATAAATCAGGGTGAGTAGCCAAATCTTTCAACGAAAAATAAGCATCTTTTAAGTACTTTTTAAGCACTCAAAAAATATTTTTAAGCACTATATACATTAACAAAATGCAAAATAATTTTCAAAGACTTAACATGATCATGATAAAATAACTTCTTTCTGACAAAGAACTCGTTTCTTGATTATATTAGCCATTATAAAAAGATAGAGAGATTTTTCGGTTCAATATCAGACGGTGGAAAATGAACCCTGAAATTAAGAATATCTTGCAAAAGGTGGCAGCAGTTGCACATGAGAGAGAAAAAATCTCGCCTAACCCAGCTCAGTAGACTCAGATGCGGACTCGAAAGTATATTAATCAAACATGTAAAACGATTAGAGCTTCATACGCTACCGATCGACGGTACGGCGAAATGGATTGTGGTTGGAATGTGGTAAAAAATTTGAATCGAACAATGTGAAAAGCACGCTTTTGCATAATACAGGGTGAAAATAGACATAGTAAAGAAAAAAAATCTCCTTTTCAAAAATGGTAAATTAAGCACTTCTCAAAAACATCCAATTAAAAAAGAACCTTTAAGGGTTTTTAAGAAAACGAAAATAAGCACCTTTAAGCACTTTTTAAGAACGCTACACACCATTTAATTACAAGCACAGATGAATACAGTGGTCACTCATTAGTCCATACTTGCAAAGGATCAAACTACGTTAAATATACCAAAGTCTGTATTAGGAAATGTTTATTTTAACCCTTTCGGCGTCAAGCCCAGTATATCTCAGAGGTGATTTTTGTACTTAAAGCTGTGTGCCCATGCATTTTTGTTGTCTCTGTATCAGCGAACACAAGTTTTTCTTAACCGGAGTTTTTCCTTTCCCTACAATCTCTTACTGTGCATAAATTGAGAGGCGTATAAGCTCCAATCTGGCAACAACAAAAAATTCCCAGTGTTTTCCCTGTACATATTATACACAATATATTAAGAGGAAAAACACAATCACTGTGCTCTTATATGAGCTGTATTGAGCTACAAGTTATAATTGCTGAAAAATTTTAGAGAAAAAAAAGAGCAGATAAATATACTTAAATAATGCCATAGTAAATGAACTAGTTTAATATAGCTGAAATACCATCCTTAAATATCCCATAGATTATAATTCTTGAGTGGTCACCATTTTTTATAAGATGAAAATAAGAAACAAATTTCCCTGATCGCAAAGGAAGAATCAAAATTCCCTGTTATTTTAGGTGATTTTTAAATTCCCCGTATTTTCCAGGTTTTCCCTATTCTACCTGTGGAGTGCCAACCCTGAAGCTCTCATCGTAAATCATTCAATATACCAGAGGATTTGTGTTTGAATAGATAGGAATGTTTGCGTTTTTTGATATTTATACCCCCACACAAAGTTTGTCTTAAATAAACGGATTATCGTTAGTTTCCCCAACATTTTTGAAACATTGGTTTTTTAAAAATTTAAATGCCTGTGGAGTGCCAACCCTGAAGCTCTCATCGTAAATCATTCAATATACCAGAGGATTTGTGTTTGAATAGATAGGAATGTTTGCGTTTCTTGATATTTATACCCCCACACAAAGTTTGTCTTAAATAAACGGATTATCGTTAGTTTCCCCAACATTTTGAAACATTGGTTTTTTAAAAATTTAAATGCGTATTTTATTATACTAAATCCTTAAATAATTTATTGCTTCGTACTTTGTAAACTTTAAATAATCTTTGAATAGGCAATTTAATTTTAGTGTGAATAGCAGAAAATCATTTCTTGTCTAGTGCAATATTTAATTAAAACTAATTTATGAATTTTTAATATCATTAATTAGCTTCCTATATCATTTAACTAATTTAGTAAAAAGTAGTTAATCAAAGTTTTTTTTATTTTTTTAAAGGATTACTTTGCTTTCAGAAAAACTTAAAATTTTTAATCTGACAATTGCAGTCAACTTTTAAAAACTTAAGAAAACTGCCTGTTTCTCTAATGTTAAGGACTGTCTCTGCATTTTTCTAAAAATCAGATACTCTCCAAATCACACAAACTATGGAATTTATTTATGATTTTGTTTAAGGATATTTAAAAACTTTCATGAACAGAATTTAATAAGCTATTAAGACTCCAAATAACTAAGTGGATTTTAAAGAACTAAGTATTTTTCCCCCCTTAGAGCATAATCTTAAAAATTCGAAACATTTCACGCCACTCAAATGACGATATTCATTTTGAAAGAAGACAATTTGTTTACATTACAACAGATTAAAAACAGATTAAATTGAAAATATTTAAGTATTCTTTAAGAAAATTAAATTCCAGTAAAAAGTTAAAATGACTGCATATTTTATCCAATGTTTGACCTAAATTGTTAAAATAATTCGCCTGACTTTACAAGCAATGGACAAAATTGCGAAAAATCAATAAATCGATTCTTGAAATGATATTCTTGCCATGATTCTTGTATTGATATTTATTCCCTGTATGCAAATTTCATAAAATTTTAAATTCTTTTTCAATCCTGTTATAATTTTTAACTTAAAAAGTGAAAAGTCAGCCAAGTGGGTCCTTGACCACTGGCATTATGAAAGCTGTTATTTCCCAGAAAAGTTTAGTACCTTTTAATTTTATGTTGACTAAGCTTCAAGTCAATACCTAGGATAGACCCCAGCCCTGAGAATAGCAGCTCATTGCCATAATCACTAAGCCACCATGATATATGTTTAAAATGCCAACTTTGCTTTCATATTGTTAGAAAAAATAATATGGTATATACAGCATCGATGAATTTAACTGTCGCCAAAAATCTAATCATCAAAATTTTTTCAATTAGGTTATTATCAGTTAATGAAGAGGTGAAATCAAAATGAGAAGAGGTGATTCAAAATACAGACTCTGAATCAAATTATTATTAATGATAAATATTATACTAACTTCACATTTTGACAAAGAGAATGTGTGACCCAGATGAAGTCGACCATTCATGTATGGATACGGAAAAGTGGTCAAATATTTTTCAACTTTAATATTTTGCTGAGGGGCATCTTCTTCAAATATCTTCTGAGTCTCCCACTTTTCCTGAACAGATCTTTCAATCTCCAGCAAAGTATTCACTTTGAAAGTTCCTTTTCTTTCTTTAGCCATATTTAAGGAGATTTCTACAAGTAAGAGATTTGTTCAATTATTATGAAAGTTTAAAAGAAACAATTTTAAACTATACTGTGAAAAAGCATGTTGAGTGATACACTTAAAAAACAAAACTATTGCTTAATGTTTATAGCATACCTACCAACTTTGGGAGAAATAAAATAACATAGATTTTACAAATAACAATGTTTGGGTTTCAAGCAAAGTTTTGATACATTATGCATAAATACGTAAGTCAAAATCGGAAATAATATAAGCACTCACATTTAGCGAAGTAAAAAATATGTATGTAAATCTTAATCCAAAGAAGATTTTTTTAAAACTATTATTTATAATTACTTAAACTATAAACACTCAAAATACTGCAGCACATCTGTTGAAGAATAAAAGAAATACTTTCGCCATTAACAGATATTTTATCACCAAAATTCTCTTCTTCTTTTTTTTTTTTTTTTTTAATTTCTTCAACAAATCTGGAGAAATTTGAGAGTATTAACAGGAGATAGTTGTAAATAAAGGAGTCTTCATTAAAAAAACAGGAAACTTAGCAGGTATGTTATATTCAATATTATTAGGTCAGTTTTGAAGTGTAGAATCTCAGTTTAATTTATAAAGTTTTTTATAAGGTAGTATTTACAGGGTATCTGCAAAATTTTAGATTTTCAAATTCATGACTAATTCCAAGAACTTTTCATGACTAACGAAGTTACTATTTTCTCCTGACAAAAACAGAACAATAAATTTAAAAAGCATTATAACAACATTAATTGTAATGATAAGTATAATCAAAACTGTTATATTCTGCATCTTCATATTAATTGATTTTAAATTTAAAATGCAGAGCAGAGAGAGAGTTGAAGCAATAAAATAGCTAAAAAAAAAAATTTCAAAAAAAGCAAATAACTAAGAAAGTCAGATAGATGTAGTTATTTAAACCTGTTTTAGTTCTTCTTAAAAATAAGTGTAATATGAAAAGCCAAAACTATAATTTTAAATTGCTAAAATTAAAATAATAAAAGATAAAAAAAATTCTGAAGTCAGGGAAGTTTTAAAGATAATTCGCTCTAGAAATGATGTTCTTTCCTTCATTTTTTGAAAGAACAGGATAAAAACATGTTATAGTTTAATAAGATTGTAGTGGGGATTAATATTATTGTGAGTGGGGATTTTGTTACAAATTCAGATATTCAGAACATCGGAACACTGAAATTGAGAGAGGTTACATTACATTTTTAAAATTAGATTTTTCGGCAACCTAAATCCATGACTTTTCATGATTTTTTTAAAAAAAATAGCTAAAATCATGACATTTCATGACAAATTTTGTTCAATACCGAAATCCATGACTTTCTAGGTGCGTGGATACCCTGTAATTAATAAAAAAATATCTAATTTACTAAACATGTAGGAAAAATTAATAGAAATTCCACTAAACTCAGTTGGTATTACAACTCTGTCCAGAAAGATGAAAAAATTTTTAAAAAAGAATTTTAAGATTAAGCTATCCACCCAGTTAACTCAAAACAATGATAATCAGAGGATCTCAACTGTTTAGTTTTCTCTGTAAATATTTGTCTTGATATTTGTTGATCTTTGAAGCTTGTTTGCTATGTAATGAGATTTGCTTGTTTCTTTGCATGAGGGGAGGAAGCAAATTTCAAAATGGGTATTTACTTAGGTTTTGGACAAAGTTGCAACAAATGTTTATGTTTTTACAACAAGCTTTATTGACAGTTAACTTCACTAGATTACAAAATAAAACGATCACATGTTGCCCACATACATTATAACTCGCAATTCAGCAAAGATGTAAGGCCCTAAAAAAGGAATTTCTCTTGCACTTAGTTCTACAAGAATATCTGATTACTGGCAATATTGATTGGTATGGATATTTCAATATTAGTACCCGCTCACACCAACTACTATGGCCAAGTCACCGAAGGATTTTTAGCAAATTTTGGGAAGACTTTCATATTAGAACTTGTCCCAATAAAGTCACCGATTTTGTCAAAAACGAGACAAACAAAAACAAAAACAAAAAAAATTTACACAGACAAACTCGAAAGATATAACTTGTTACTTCTAGCCAACCCCAAGCAAACCGCAACACATTTTTTAAAAAAAAATCTTGCCAGCAGAATAACAGCATCCATATAATAGTAGTATCCATAATGACAAAAACCAATTTTTGATATAGGTTTTGACGAGTGTCAAAAGCCTAAAATTTCAGTGTAACGATAATTATTAGCTATTATAAATAAGAAGCATTTATAAATAAACATACATACAAAATTATAAATGATCAATCAATTATGTCCTTGAATTATTTTCATATTAAACTCTCCTTTTGAAAATTACTGTCAAAAACCCAAATTTTTGTGTATAAAATATAAAATAACTACAAATGAAAATGTGTAAAATTGAAATTTATCCTCTCTGTTCAGTTATCAAAATATTTAAAATCAAAATACATAAAGAATCACTCATAGACAACTCATAGTTATTACCTGTAATATAAACCAATTAATTATAATATGGGTCTTAAAGTATTTAGATAACCATTAGAAAAACACAATTAATAATTTCAATAATTTTTTAAACATTTTTTATATATGATATATAATATAGATCATAATTATAGTTGTGTATAATGCAAATATAATTCATGACTTAGTATCTAATAAAATGTCTCAATGTTAAAAAATAAACTTGCCCCAAGTATTTGACAATTTTTGATGGATTTTGAAAATTTATGACGCTATTTCATAGGTTTTTGATGCATCATGTCAAAAACCAATTTTTGGTGTCAGAAACCCAACACTTTTTCCAGATCTCTAATCAAATCCTTTTGTTCAAACATTTGACTCAACAATTCTTGAATAATTTCAATCCACTCATTAGTAACGACTGTTGAAGTTTCATTCACAAGATGTTTCTACATCTTAAGACAAAAGAACATTGTTTTTTTTTGTTTCTGGCTATTGCGGCTATGTTCTAAAAAGGAAGATATGAAATGCAGATATTTTATAGTTAATTCTAAGTCTTGTTAATAAAATATAAATAAAAGGTTTAATTATTAGACACTATGTTTTTTATTAGATTTCTAATCAAAGTAAATATTTGCAGGTTACATGCTTAAGGGATCTTTCCATATCGTGATCTGTCGTGCCAACTACAATTGCCAAGGTGCCAAATAGATTTTAAACTAGAAATTATTTTTTAAAAAAAAAAAAAACATGCAGATGTTTGCCCAGGGGTGGCTACGAGTTATACATTTTGAGTTGGTCCCTTTCTGTGATGTTTTTTTTTTATTTCTCGAGGGCCACTGCCCAAAAGTTGCCAAGACTTGGGATTATTCTGCCACAGATCACGATACGGAAATCTCCCCATGCGTTTTTACAATGACGTAAAAAGAACTAGAAACAAAGTTGAAAAGGAAATAAACAACTTTTGACTTTTTGTATGCTATATCTGCCTCAACATTTGGAGCTATATAATGCATAAGTACAAAATTGAAAATTATAAAATGTTATTTGATGCCCCCCTTTACCAGTACTTTAAAATGTACCCATAGTAAATTTAATTTAAAGTGTCTTAAAAATAAGACATAAGGTTTTAAACTTTAAAAATTTTTCTATGCACAAAATACTGTATTTGTAAGAAGCAAAAATAAATTTTCAAACTTTAATAGCAATATATTTTGTTCTAATTAAAGGTAATTAATAATAAAATTAATTCAACATTAAAAAATATTGCACAGATCGAAAACTTTACTTATTTACGTTAAAGTGTTTGAAACAGCTCCAAAAAAAATTAATAGGATAAACTTTAATCAAAAGCAATTATAATTAATTAAGCATTTATTAAGGGAATTCCTTTTCCTACAAATTTCTTTCCTATTAAGAGCTACCAACCTGTTTTCTGATTTTTTGCATCAGCCGCGTGTTTGTTTACAGTTTGAGAAATAATTACAATCACAGTTAATTATTAAAGGAAAAATAATTTTTTTTCCAATTGCTTTTTTTTTTTTTCATTTCTCACTCAAGTCTCGCTAAATACGGGCCAGTCTCAAGAAATGCGGTTCACACACAACCGATCGTTGCGCCTTACCGAATTTGCAAAGGGACCAAGAGTGTGCGGTATTGGTGCTTGTTAAACTGCTCTACCATAAAGCATAAAGTGCTCAACTTCACATGTAAGTCACCGAGCTACAAAAGCGAGGGTGCCACCCCCGCAGAAGAGGATCAAACTAAATGGTGTTTTCAATATAAATATAAACAACAAGAATCTCGAGCTCTTTCCCTGCTCTACCTCCGGTTAAATAGTATACAGCTGCTTACAACAGCTTATTCTGCGTTGAAATATTTTCAAATAAATAATTTTGCTTTTAATTAGAAGAAATAAATTTTTATATGATATAATTTCAAAGCTCAAATCTGCTGTATTTCATAAGATATTAATGAAAAAAAATGCAGCATGGTTGCTGTCCCGCAGTAGACTGATGATGCTGGTGGATGACCACTAGGATCAGTCTGCGTAGGGACCGAGGGTGTGCGGTATTGGTCCTCGTTAAACTGTTCTACCGTAAAGTGCTCGACTTCACGTGCAGGTCATCGGGGTACCAAAGCAGGGGAACCATCCCCTCTGCAGAGGATCAAAATTGCGATGGCATGTCTTCGGATCATCCTCAGGGATGGTTCCCAGACCGTCGCCAATAGCCCATTGTGCAGCTCTAGTGCGACGTAAATGAACTACAACGACAATAGCAACATGGTTGCTAGATTTAGAAAGAGCTCGATTTTTTGGCAGTTCTTCTTTGGCCTTTTGATTATTACTGTTTGATCTTGGTGCAAGCCGCCATGCATTATCAAACATCAGTGTTAGCATATTGTTCGAGCAGCAAGATTAAGTTCATTTTACAAATTATCATTTAGGTTTAAACTTCGAAGTTGGTATATCGTTAACAAGTGCTCATATATATTAATCCCAGTGTGTGCCTTTCGTTTGACAAGAGAGTGTCGCAGGGGTGAACGTTCATCTTAGTTCATAACCTCCCGGATAGATCACCACTCCTTCATGAAGCCTCTTCCACAGTTTTGATATAGATCTGAAGGGGAAGGAGATTTACTCCAGGTCTCTGCATAGTTTATCGAAAGTAAGAACTCCACTAGCCATTCGTCTGGACCCGTAGCGGAGACTGTGTTAACGAGGTATAACTATTTCAAGTAGGGTTGTGAGGTCATTGTTTGGGACAGGTTTTGACTCAGGTTGGCGAGAGAAAGGGAATCTTTTTCTTCGGTCAATTGCGTTAGCCATAGAGTGAAGAGAAACTACTCTCCCTGAAATGCGCTATTCTTGCTTCCATAGCAGCAGACGGCCTCAGACTTTGCGGCGAAGGGTGTAGTTCTTATCATAGACAAACTATTCCCATGGTACTTTCGATCTCACTGATTTTACGAGCACGTAAATCGTATGTACTCAGTGGGTCTCAGCAGTGTCGAGGATTGAACCTCGCCCCTTCCGGACCGGAGTCCATTGGCGTCGTTAGATAAAATTTAGTTTCAAGTTACTTGAGGGAAAAAATTAACCTTGCCCTTATTAAAAAAATTGTTATTGTAAAATAGATTTCCCTCTTTACAGTATTAGCAGTTAAAAATAATTTCTGGTAACACTTCAATGTCCTGGCATTCATATGCCGGGAAAATGACAGTCAGGATAATGACAAATTCGCTATTTTATAGCATATAACTTTACTTTAATATTTTGGCCGAAGACGTGTATATTCTGCAGAAAACAACAGTATTTCTTAAAATAACTCAGATAAATCTATGTAGTTTTTGTTATTACTGATTTCAAGAAGCCAGGAAAATGACAGCATAAAAACCTACTCTCCTTGAAAATTTTTTTGAAATACATTTTGAGCCAGAAAATTGGTTCTTTATTCATATAACAAGACATGTTCAGATAGGAGGGTATCTAATCAATCTATTAGCATAAGATATTGATTCCTGGTGCTATCTATTTTGGTTATAAATCACTAAATAAAAGTAGCCAGGAAAATGACAGATTTTCATGGGACAAACAAATTATTGACAGAAAAAATTATTTTAAGCGAAGTTTTAGTAAACAATACCCTCTGTGTATATTCCAGAAATGCTTATATAGGATAAGATAAAAAAAATTAGATTATGAAAAATGTATGGGAAGTTTTGAAGCTAGTTATTATTGGAAATATTGTTTGGGGCATGCCAGGAAAATGACATTTTGATATTCAATTAAATTTTTTAAGTATACAAAGCAGTCAATGCTAGTGCTAAGTTATTTTAAAATACTAACAGCAATGCTATTTTTTTTATTTTTTTTTTTTGAAGTTCTTGTAGTATTATAGTATTAGATTTTGGAGCAAGGGACAGTGAATTTCATGTTTCGTGAGAATCACCTATATATATATATATATATTATNTAGTTAAATTGTTCTACCGTAAAGTGCTTAATTTCGCGCGCAGGTCGTATATATATATATATGCATACTCACATATACATACCGAAAGACAGACACACTTACATAGATTGACGAAAATAACTTTTTCTTAATGTATGACAAAAACATGATATCAAACATAAAATAATTATATTTCACAATCAAGTCAATATGTTTTGCTAATATTTAATATATTATTATGAAAACTGAAACATCTTGATACTAAGTAGAGTGTTCGTAGAGTATTTTAGAATCATCTTTAAGAATTAAATTTTTTTTTAAAAATTACAAATTAGGTAACTACTACTACAATTTAGGCAAACTACAATTTAAGAGCGGGAAAAAATTATATGGAAATCTTAAGAATCACTATTAAGATACACGGAATTGAAAACTTTAAAATCAGTTTAATTTCATTTTATTTTATAACCGTAGTTGCACAATCGACCAAATTTTTGGGTAACGACTAGAAAGCAAGAAAACTCCTGAATCAAGCATTGAGAAAAATTTGCCTTCGTGGAGGACTTTTGATGGAACTATCCCGCATTTGCGTTACTTGGAGAAGAAAACCACGAAAAACTCCCATGGTTAGCTAGACGGCAAGGAGTCTCTAACCTGTGATCCGTCTACCACTGAGGATATTTTACTTCAGGACTGTGGTGGGTACCGTGACGGGTGCGGAATTCGTTTCGACCAGCCGTCGTTGAGAATCAAACCCGGATCATATTATTGGGAGGCAAGTGCTCTATACCATGAGCCACCACAGCTCCACACTTTATTTATTGATTTATACCATCGTGACATTTAAATAGATTATCGTTAAGCAAAATAAAATTTAAAAGAAAATAAAACAAACTTGGTTTTCGAGATTAAAATTAATGGAGAAATTTGTTCTTGGTGAATTTTGACTAGGCGTTGGCCTGCTTTATCAATAGCTACATGCCGAATGCAGCATTTATGTATTGTTAAATCTTTATTTTGCTTAATTGAACTTCTGAAAAAAATGCGTTTCGCTGAATCTAATAATGTAAAGTCATCGAAAAGGGCAACAAATAATAATAAATAAATAAATTTTAACTTTATTAATTGTTTCGGTATACACTTATGTGTTGATATCTGATCTTGTGTTGATCATCATCATCAGTAGCTCGACAGTCCTGGGTGGATCCTGGCTTTCTCAAGAAGACTGCCTCAGTCCTTTCTTCTGCGTGCCACGGCTTTCCAGTCTCTGACTTTGATTGTGGTAAAGTCCCTTTGGAGGCAATCCGCCCATCTCAGTCGGGGTCTGCCTCTCTTTCTAATTCCAGTTGGTCTTGCCAAAAAGATTCTTTTAGTTGTTCTGTCATCGTTCATTCTTACAATGTGTCCGGCCCATTTCATGCGCTGGATCTTATGGTACTTCAGAATGATCTTGTGTTGATATCAAGATGCTATTTAATATAGATTTATTATTGATTATTTACTTTTCTATTTTAACTCTGTGCGAAGAACTGGTATTCA